TACATTCCGTGTGAAGCGTTTAGTGTAGAAAAATCGACATTGCCGTTTCGTTACATACTATTATGCAAATACTTATATGTAAGTACATATAGGTATTCTTATAATGTAAAGAGTGGAGTTATAAGAAGGGAACGGTCGTGTCACTTTGTGTAATTTTTTGTATATAACATAAAAATCAATAAAAGTGGTGCAAATCAATGGCGTGGATATTTGTCTTTTGCTATATCTCAGAAAATTAAAACTATATGATTTTATAACATTTTTTAATTTTGTTTCTAATCATATTTGCAACAAAATATGTCGAAAACTAGGTAGTTTATTATATAGCATGTTCCGGAAATAAGTGAAAAAAAAAATACTACAGCTCTCAATAACATATTTTCGAAAACTCGGTATTAACCGAGTTATATAATTTGAAATAAATATATATGTTTATTTAAAATTTGTTATAGGTAGCGTTTATTTCAGTTAAGTGGCTATTTTCAAATTTGGTACATTTATAACTGGTACAAACTGCATCTATGCAAAAAAAATTATAACAATTATTATGAGGCTCTAAGGCCCTTATTGACTAGAAAATTGACCATAATTTTTTTGTGCGTTTTTTCAAAAAACTTTAAGACCATATTATGTAACACCGTTAATATCGAGTTTATGAAATAGTTTCAGTTTTTCAGTTAAAAATAAGCTGAAATATAAATATACGTCCAAAGCATGCAGACCTTTAAATTTTTAATAAATACCTATTGTATTTTCAGTATTTCAAAACACTTACTTTTACAGAACCTGGTAATAATTCTACTTTTTAATCAATCAGTGTCATAGCTTAAAGCTCAATTTTTGCTCCTAAAACTTTTTCTGTAGATCAGAATACCTATATACCTACAGTGTTTACAGTGGTAAAAGAATCCCGTTTTACTACCCATTCCTGCGCCACAGTAAATTATGCACATGTGTAAATGTTAACACTACATCAGAGAATCAATTTGTTATAAGCATATAAAAGATTTCATAAATAATATGATTTTAAAAATCGACCAATACGGCCCTGTAGGTACAGTGAAAACGGTGAGACGTAGACCCTTGCTTTATAAGGCAATTCTGAATTATTTATTGAGTTCTATTTGTGGTTCAAGTTTGATTCACTCGAACTGAAACACTTTGTATAATAATTTAGAAAAATAATTACTCTTCTCAAATTGTCACATTTTAAGATAATAAAAACAAATTGCATTGGAATAATTTTTATGTAATTTAGTAGGTATTATATATTTTTTTAACTATACAGAGATATTTAAATATGTCATGAGTGTAAAATATGTCAACTGGTTAGATAGTAAATAATATTAAGAATTACCTAGCAGAAAAAAATAAGATTCTATATCTAAGTAGGCATTTCGTCAAAAAAGCACGTTCTTCAAAAATATTTAATTTTACAAATCATAATGCCTTTTAGATTACTGAAGGTCAAATGTTATATTTATACAACTAATTTAAAGATTGCTAATATTAAACAAACAAGTGGGTACTTATTACTAAAACAAAATAAAATTCAAGGTTTATTAGTGTTTGCGTTTTGAATTAAAATAGTACTTTTAATGCTTTACAAGTTATAAATATTCCCAATTATTTCAGTAATACTTTTTTTTAATGTAATCCATTATTTCAATATTTAAGATTCTTTATTATTTATATTGTTTTCTGTTCAGAGTTTTTCAGAAATTTTAATCTCGTTCTCTATTTATAATAAAATTGAAGTTGAAAAAAATGGAACAACATTGCAATGGATTTTGTAAAATGCATTTTGATAAACTTGTTTGTCAGTGTTTGTTAACTTATCTTATGTTATTTTTAACAAAATTACGTGAAACAAGAATTGGGCAAATCTATAAATTCTATCAATTCAGGCAATGTGAGGTCAGGTCATGATGGTCAAGGTCTCATCTGCGTATCAGTAGTGTCTGAGTCTTTATTAGAACTGCGCAGTAGATTAATAAAATTGTTTGTATATAGTGCATTACTCAATTTGAGTAGTGCAACTCAAACCTCTATAAAATAATCGGAGTGAAAGTGGAAGATATGGATAGAAGCTCAATCATGTCATGGATGTTCAAAATTTATTAAAGAATTAAAACGAGAAGAGATTCTATAAAATAAAATAAAACAATTTCCTCATAAAGAAGAATATGACAAGCAGCTCGCATGGGTTACGTAATTATTTAGAAAAAATATAATACTGCCAAAATCACCCTTATTATATGGAAATATCAAAATATGCATATGAAAAGAAATAACGTACTGCTCCTAAACCGCAGTTAGGGGAAAAATGTTAAAGGGGGATGTAGAATACAAAATACAACTGCAAAAAAATAAGGGTAGGGCCCTTACCTGGAAACATGAAAATAAGTCACATGAAAAATATTAGGTACGCAGTATAACTAAATAGGTCGGGAGAAATTAGATAATTGAGCAAAATGAATTATACTTGCTAATGAGAAATAAGAGCAAACTACTAGTACAATAGTACATACTTGAAAGCATGGACAATTAATATGTAGGTACACGTCTGAAAAATAATATACTGCTAGTGAGTTTTATGACAAAAATGTAAAAGCTAATTATTTAAAATTGTTTTATTATTTATTGACAATTTTATCTATAGCAACAATTTTATTATGTATAAATTTCTAAATATAACCCAGTTTAAAAATTGTATTATTGTTAGGTACAATAAAATACAATTATATTATACAGGGAGACTAGAGAATAATTATAGGTCATACTGCTAATACCCTTGAAGGGTCCTAGCTTTCTCAGTTAAAAATAATACCGATTTAGATCAGTATCACCTTACTTTGATTATGCTTCATTAAACAATTACGGATCTTCGAAGTTCTGTTTTACAATAACTTTATCACTTTCAAGACATCAAATAGTTGGTAGAGGGGTTGTCGAGCAATCTTTTGTACATTTTATTCTGTTTTTTTTTTTGTTACTATAGTCCCATTACCAATATGTATATGTTTGTAACTGAAAAATAAATCGTATATTAATCTAATTAAAGGTAAGTATTTCACCTTTTTTTTGCTGAAATTGTAACAAAATAAAAGGGGATTTAGACCAACTCTATTAAATGAAAAGCCAATATCTACCGATATGTATCACTCAAATGGAGTAACGCCATTTTAGAAATTATCTCCGTTCTTCAATTTTTGTAATATAAACAGCGAAAAAATTGAAGGACCAGAAAAATTCCAAATATTTTTAGTGATTTTTGAAAGGCTGTAACTTAGTGAATAATGGTCTTATCGAGAAAAAAAAAAGCATCTTAAAGTTTGAAAATTCTAGTTTTGAAATCTTGAGCATCACTTTCGGCGCAATCAAAAGAAATAATGCAAGGCAAAAATTTAACTTTTTTTTTTTCTAAACTGCACATGGGCTCGGAAATTTTAAATTCAATTTGTTTTTTTTTATTTTCTGTAAGATTATTTCTCACGGAGATATCGGTTATTGAGCGAAAAGTCACTTTCTTTTATAATCGATATCTCATGAACGCACAGCGAACGGAAGCAGGTGGGTTTTAGAAACCTGAATAATCTTCTTCAAGGGCCTTTTGCTATGTTTGAAAAAAAATATTTTTTTTATACTCGGCATTAATTTGAAAGCGCAAATAATTACTTTTTCGAATGTTTTAGAAAATCAACGACTACTATGCAAACATTGCAAAAAGTATCAATTAAGTTTTTTTAGGCTCAATACATGCCCTTGAGGCATGTAAATTTTGAAATCGATCGGTCTAACCGTTCTCCTTTCCTAAATCGTTAGTTTTATAAAAAAAATAAAGGAGCAGGTTTATTGCTCCTTAAACATCAATTAGTTATATCTTTCTCACAATTTCGCGTTAAATACTCATCAAATATCGAAAAAAAATTTAAATCCTCTCCCTCTAATGGAGAATTTTCCGGGACCGTCATTACCTACAAATAATGTAATAAAAAACTTAATTCATGGATAGAGTGTTCTTATTTAACATTTTCAGTAATGGGATTAAACAATAAAATTATAATAATAAATATATGCTCGCCTCGCCAAATTTTAATGGACACAGCTTTGAAAATAAAATACACTGTATACTGACAACAAATACGAACTTTTGACATAGGTAAGCTTTTTGTCTTAAAAGGAATAAGCCCTTGAACTGACACCACTTTTTTAATCATTCAAATATTAACACCAAAATCTAACTCGTTAGATTAAGGGGTTGAAAGTTCTACATTTTTTTTTACTTTTACGTTCATTATAAACAATGTATTTTACGAAAAGAAACACACAAGATTTGGTTGGTAATTATCTATTTCGATGCCACTGGTAAGATTTATTTTAAATTTTGTAGTTAACTGTTTTAAAAAAACTACACTGTGCCAAGTTTGAAGTGTGCAACTTAAATTGTCCTCATTTAATTGAATCAAAACCGCGTTTTTGTCCACCATCAAATTAAACCTTTTAGTAATCATTTGATGAAAAAATATTCTCGTTTTTTTTATTTACACAAAATGTATACCGACATCGCTGTTACACGTAGTAAATCGGTTGTTTGTTCCAATAGCTCATAAATATATTTATAGGAGTACATTAGAGGAGCATTTGCTGTAAATATTTTTATTTGTGTTGTTTTGAAATAACCAATAGTTACGAAATATTCCAGAATATGACAATTTTTTTTGTCGTTGGGAGCTCCCACATAATATACGAGATCAATTTTAAATTGTTTTAATAACATGTAAAGCATTCCTATGGAAATAAAGAAAATATAAACAATTTCTTTGAACAATCACCTACCTAAAAAAGAGATGTGTTCAAATATTACCTAGAGACAGAAAAATTCAAGACATGTAAGCGCGGGTAAGTACCTACCTACGTATCTATAGTTTATACAGAAATCTATACCAATTTGTCTAAATATCTACTAATTTCTACTGGGTAAAACAAAATATATTTACCAGGGATAAATACACATAACTGGCATACAGCTCAAGATTAATTTGCTTATTAATCCCATCCTCACAGTCTTTATGGAAATTCTGGCGCACCTGAGACGTCATCGCTTCTTTCTTCAATAACAAAGTAATATTTTTTTAAGTACGATTTTTTGCGATTAGTTTGTACTCAAACTGAACCGCTACAAACTGTTGTGATACTCGAAATGATTTAAGGAACAGGGAACGCCATCGCTTTTATGAGCAGGCGTCGGAAACAAAATGCGACGTCAGGTCGATTTCTTTCCATAGCCGTACCACCGGCAAGTAATTCGGGGCATAAAGTATAAATATATTTTGATGCGTAAGTAGTAGAAAAAAAATAGGCATACAAAAAGTTTAAAACCAGCATTTCACCACAGAAGATAAAACAATTTATCTTCTGTGATTTCACCGTGATAATATTTTAAACATATTTGATACTAACACTTGTAAATTGAAATATAGCGGCTTTATCTTATCTTTATCTATATCATATTACATTTTAGGTTTTTATTACATATTAACAATCGATATTTGTATTCAACTGGATTACAGTTTGAGGTGCATAAAAAACAATTTCTTTGATCAAGAATGGAAAACTTTCTTATTTATAAGTATATAAATCTACTACTAAAGTCTAGTAGCGTATAGGTACATAGGGCGGGATATGGCAAATAATATTTTATTTATACATTTCTTTTCTTTATAAAAGCAATATAAGCATAATCTCAAAAATATAATAATAATTTAACTGCTAAAAATGTTAATTTCTCATGACAAAGATGTAGCTACGCCAGCGATACAAACGCACTTTCTATTGAAAAAAAAGTTTTTTATGTACAGGGTGACGTATTCCAATATTTCTAAACGTTTTTGTTTCCTCACTGTCGGCCTCTTCAGTGGCGATTCTGCAAAAGCATCGCCACAATTGAATATCAGTTACATAGGCCAATATGCAACATCTTAGAGGGCCCCCATTATTCTCTGGGAAGAGATTCCCTCCTTAGTAGTCTTAGAACCAATAAGAACAGAAAACATCATGGCGACCCTAGAACAACCTCAGACTAATAAATAAAGGGGACACCGTTATTTACATTCGATAGTGAAGTGTTGATATATGTGTATTTACAAACATTGGTACTTGTGACGTCGTTGACGCTGATGCCTATGTTACATTTTTATCTTTATATGTACAGCGGTCATTTTATAGTCCAATTAAATAAGCCTTTGCATCGAAATTTTGGTCAACTTGCCTGAATTTTTGATATGAGTTAGTTTGAGGTATATTATAACAATAAGTGACAGTAATTTTTTGTTCAACCCCCGGCCAAGGGTGAAAAAAGATAAAACAAAGGGGTTTTTCAAGATAACTCAAAAAGGGTAAGGGCTAGAAAAAAAGTTTCTCGTAAAAGTTGTAAAGCATACAAGTCTACATAAAAATGGTCTCTTGACTTTTTCTTGTACTATTAAAATTAATAGAGTTAGGGAAACTAGAAGTTAAGGGAAGATTTCAGAAATTTAAAAAAATCAACAGAAAAATGAATGAATTTTGTAATATTTTTTTCAATCTGCTCTAAAAAATGTAACTTTCCTTTTCAGAGAAATAGATATATTTTTTAATTTTTAATAAGAAAGTTATAACAAAAAATCAAATTTTTAATCGTTAATTTTAATGATTTAACAAAATTAAATTTCTGAAATCTTCCCTTAACTTCTAGCCTCCCTAACTCTGTTAATTTTAATAGTAC